TGTCAGCTTTCCTTTATAATACCTCAATTCCTGCCATAAATTTATCCAACTCATCTTCTTCATCATCATCATCATCATCTGCTACGTGCGGATAGGATGGTCCAGATTCATCTTCATCCTCATCATCAATAAACTTTGATTCATCATCTTCATTGTCACTATCCACAAAGGCCCTGCAAATCATATAATGCATTTTAACATAAATGGCAGTCAGAGAACCTTCCTATAATAAACCCCAGCCCTCCAAATAATAAGAAACCTTACGATCAGGCAATGGCAAGGCAATGAGAATGCCGAAAAACAATACTGTAGGTTTGATAAGCACAGGTAACACACTGTTTTGCTTTTGTCTATGCCATCACTGCACAATTACAATATGAAGATGCCTAATTTCACATTTTATGGAGGATGCGTATAAGCCACCATGAAATTTTCTGTCCCTTTCTGAACTTGGACATAGTTCTTAGGATTTCAATTCCACGGGAATTCGCCTACATTTAACAAAGTAAGCGAGTTGAAATAATAATTGTGATGAAGATTTAAAGACCATGAATTCACATTTGACATTTTTGTTGACATCACCATCTTGGATTTTATGCTCCCTAATAATTTCTAATCTCTTTAAAAAAAACAACAGTCACTGCTCCAGTAACAAACACCAGCAAAGTTATTAGAGAGATGTTACAAGTCAATATTAAGTTCAGGTTAAAATTTTTAAACCCACAATCCTCACCAAAAATCCTTGAAACACCTATGCACACCCCTTTCCCTCTGCAATGTTGAGATGTGATTGCAAAGTTACAGGGCTACAACAACATTGCAAAAAGGGAGGGGGTAAGGAACGAAAGGGAGCAAAATTTTCCAAAGTGTTTGAAGGTTTTTGCCTGAGATTGTGGGTTGATTTTCTATTTCCTTTATTTTCGAGCCCTAATTTCACAGAAATTAGGGCTAGGAGACGAAGGAAATTGAGAAACAACTTAATTAAAAAATTTTAACCTGAATATACTTTTAACCTGTAACTTGCACAGATACATTATGATGACTTTAAGTTTCTTTCACTACTATGCAAAATAAATCTTCAGCCACAGAATAATAGTCTCGAGTACTTGATCTGTCCAGTGATCATGCCTGACTGCAGATGGGATATTTTCTTTGGACAAGTGCAAAAATTAGTAAGAATAAGAAGTCAGCAAGTAACACTTTCAATTTGCTGGCTGTAGACTGAACCAAAAATTTGAAAACCTGTACTCAGCTACACATTATCCTCCACCTATATTTTATTTCTTCATCCATTCTGCTGCTGATAAAAATATATATTAATTTGCTGGTAAGTC